TGTTGTTTCACTATCACAACACATAAAACCTTTACAGGTGTGAATTTTCACTGACTTCTGCAATTCAGCAGCTCTCACCTGATCCTATCAGAACTCATTTTACTTATTCATGAGTATTTGCACAAACATTTTTTCTAGGCTTTTTATCCCTCAAAATGTTGGGTTCTAACAGACTAAAACCCAACTTCTGCCTTTTCTGGGAAGCTGATATAACAAGGAGAGACATTTTGCCACTAGAACAGCAAGGTACTATTGAAATACCAAGTAAGATTAAAGATAGCATCTCTACAGACCCTGCGTACGAGGTAGAGTTTAAAATGTGCTCAGAGTCCAAACACGTTGTCTCTCACAATATTGGGAGCCTGAACTTGGCCGAAGGCGGAGACTTTCCTCCACCATATTGCCCACAAAATCTCGAACCCATGAACATACTCTGCTGGGAACAGCCTTGTGAAGCCAAGCTGCCTTCATCTTGAAGCAGAGTTGAATATTTCTCACTGCACGGGGTTCTTTAATTGGACTCTGACCAGGTGGAGACTGGGCTTGGATCAAAGCAAGATGATGGATGCTCAGTCCAGGCAAGGCTGAGGTACCCATGGCAGGCAACATGAAGTATTGAGAGGGAAACAGTGGTAGTACCTGCCTGTTTAAATAGTATCTGCTGCTCACATCATGGGTACAGAAGTTCACCCATCAGGAGGAGTTTCTGGGCATGACTGCTCTTCGCGTCCTAAACACCTATTCCCACCTGCATTTAGAGGATTGTGTCCAACTTGCCAATGCAGGTCTGGCCAATGTTACCCATCATCACTTCCTTCTATACCAACTATGTGGGGCTTTGCCTGCAAGTAACTAGGTCTCCAGCTAGCACAGAACATAGCTGACACCTGTTGAACAGCATCACCCACAGTGTAAATTTAACAACCACTAGGCCAGAGATCGGCAACCTTTGGCATGTGGCCCGTCAGGGAAATCCGCTGTCGGGCCAGGATGGTTTGTTTACCTGGAGCGTCCGCAGGTTCAGCCGATCGCAGCTCCCACTGGCTGCGGTTCGCCGTTTCAGGCCAATGGGGGGTGTGGGAAACGGTGTGAATGAGGGATGTGCTGGTCGCCACTTCCTGCAGCCCCCATTGGCCTGGAACAGCAAACCGCGGCCTGTGGATGCTGCAGGTAAACAAACCGTCCTGGCCCACCAGCGGATTTCCCTGACGGGCCACATGCCAAAGGTTGCCGATCCCCGCAGTGGGCCAAAGGCTCTACTAGCTTTCTGTTACTTCCCCAGTGCAAGCTGAAGCTGCCCATTAATCTATACAAGACTTGCCTGGTTTGGGTTCAGTCTACCCGAGACGCCTTCTCCCCCACAATTTTGCAGCAGCAGAGACTCACCAAAATGCCCAATCCAATAGCCCTAGATTTAAATAACAGGGGCACAGAGTTCACCGGACAAGGCCCTTAGCACTAGAATTTGATTTCCCTTTGGGCTAGCAGAGCCCCGGGCTGCCCTTCACGGCACGGTCAAAGGCTCATCCACGTACTGAGGCATCTGTCAGAGCAGGGCAGGGAGGAGTGAGCTGGTGAGTCCGGATTATTTCAGTCTTTACGCATACACTTCCAATTCCAGCTGGCCCATCACCCCACATTACTGCCCCCACGACAGGCGCTGAAACATGCATGGTAATAGTCTTATGGCTATCCCTGCCTTAAAACCCACGTGAATTAGCAACTCCTCTGAGCACACTGCTATTACCATGACCACAGTGGTCATGCTTTCCTGCTTCCTGTCATGTATTAGCACAGAATTCGCTAGAACACGGCCAGCAGCCACAGGTCAAAGGATGTGGAAATACGATGCACTGTCCTTAAGCATGAACTGCATGCTTTAGATGGGCTTTAAGGATATGTCTACACGGGGATCAAAGAACCATGGCAATACTGCAGCTGGTCTGGGTCAGCTGACAGGCTCGCGGGGCTAAGAATCACTGTGTAGATGTTTGGGCTCAGGCTAGAGCCTGAGCTCTGGGACCCTCCACCCTTGCAGCCCAAACCTGTCTACACAGTAATTTTTCAGCCCCAGAGCCCAACACCATGAGCCTGAGTCAGCTGACCTGGGCCAGTGGCAGGTTTTTTATCCCTGTGTAGCCATATTCCCATGCCAGTCCTGATAGGGTATCAGCCTTGGAAGAGCTTTTGCAAAACCAAACCAACCCAGGCCTCCATTAATGCTGTATCTGCTGTAGGAGTAGGGCTGCTTCCCCCAGCCCTGCATAGCTGTAATTTGACAGTTTGATATGAGAGAGAAACAACAGTCAGCCTCAGCTATCTACCCGTCTGTGTCTTCCAAAGCATGTTCATTTTCTCCATACCACTCCTCGCATGTGGAACATTCTTCCTGAACTTGGTGAAGTCACTACCCTTTTCCTTGAAATCCCTCCTGCACAGTCACTTCTGCTAGCGTGCCCATAGGAACCTGCCAACTATTGTCCATTAAAATGTAATTTGAAACAAGATGCAACAAAAGCACAAGCTCTTCCGGGCATGGAAGCTGTCTTCCTTTACATCTGCACAAATGCTTAGCACTATAGGATCCTCAGTGGACCTCTGAATGCTACTGCAATAACTTGCAGAAAACATGACTAAACTGTTAGGAGGGGGATGATCATGCTTTCTGTATTGAGGTTGAAGAAATTTCGGCCCTGTCCACATCAGTGACCAAACTGTTCTAGTTACTTGAGGGGTTCCTATTTTCTACTGCAGACTGTGCCATTGTTTCCAGACAAATAATTCCTAAGGTGAACAGCAAAAAAGGATCAGTTATCAACAGAACACACAAAATACAGCACTGCAGCAACACAATCAGTTGAACAGTACACTCCACAACTATCAATAAGATTTCACCTAAATATTTATATTACTCAGTTTGGATTCCAAGTATTTCAAGGCTTTCCATTGGTATTTGAATTTTTTTTCAGCTTAAATGACTGAAGAGCATCAGATTTTTAACCATCTCATACAGTTTCCACAGATCGAGAGAATTAAAATGGCAATATGAGAAATCCACAAAGTGACATTAATGATACCCAAGACACGACACAAGGGATATTTTATGATCAAATTTATTTAATTACATTTCATTGACTGTTTTACTGTAGTTCACATCAGAGACTGCCAAAGTAAACTAAACATTTACATTCACTACAAAGTTCCCTCAAATTTTCATAGCTAGTCCAAAAACCATGAAAACGATAGGGGTTCCTTTCCCTCCTTGGAATGTATTCCGGCTCCCATTGGTGAGAGTGGGAGTTACATTCCTGCACTGAAAAGAGAACTCAGCCCTTAGTTTCACAAATTTGCAAAAACCCTCCTTGTAGTAAGTTGTATAAACATGGTTTAAAAGTTTTTACAAAACCAATCTTCTGCTGGTACAGAGAATAGATGTCTATTTTCATTGCTAGGCGAGGAAGGACTAACCAAAGACTGACCTTGTAGCATGGAAGATAGTGAGGCAATAATACAGTACAGACATACCAAAAAATCCATGTCCACTTGTCTGACCGTCATTACAGGCGATGGACTAGGTGGGCTAGTCATATTCAAAGCATGATCTGCTCCCCTTGAAGTCAATGAGAGTTTTGCCACTGACTGTAAAGGAAGAAAGAATCACTCCCGCTATCAGCTAATTAAATAAGCAATTATTCCCAAGTGTCTGGTGTGGGTGTGGGGTTGAAAAACTAGACAGATCCTTCAGCAAACCTCACCCTACAGAGGCTTCTGGGAGGAAACCTTACCTAACTAGTGGTCCTAAAATAAGTTGTTCCTGATTTAAGCATTTTGATAATAAATCTATGATATGCTTCATTGGAATATTTTCTTTAAAAAAATCATGAAGACAACTTACTATTTGAGAACTATCTAAAAAAGGCCTTTATTATACCATCTTTCCTTTTATGTCTACTTCTAATAAATCAGAGAAACATCAGATGCTACAATTTAAACTTTCATCATATCTGAAAGTGAACATCTTTTTTTAAAAGTGAATTTTCAACATGAAAAGAGCTAAAAGTCACCGTTATATTCCATTGCGCAATCCGTGTGAAATTGAGACCATTTGCATAGTTTCCAAACGAAAACTTTGAAAAAAAAATAATTTCAGAAATAAATGTTATTCTAGGGAAGTGTTACACCTTCAATTAAACTACACAGCCTTTAAAGGCTCAATACCGGTATTGTCAGTTATTTTGTCTGAAAGCCTCCTGGAAAATTGTTCTGTTCAAACTGTTATAAATCACAAGCCATTTTTCCTTAATTTTGCCAATTTTTAATGAAGAAAACATTTGAATTTCAATGTACAAAACTCCAATAAAAAGGTGATTTCTTTCAGCAAGATGGGTAAAAGTTGGGCCATTATTGTATTCCTCATTCAACAGCAAAAGTCTTCCAATTCTCACCAATAGAAAAAAAATCTTCTGATTTGACTTAGATGACAATCCAGAAATAAATAGGTATAAATACATTCATAGTTCCTATTCCAAAATCACATAGGGAAAACACAAAATTGAAAATTACTTTATCTGAATTTGTTGGCTTATAATGAGATAGGCAAATTATAGCAGAGTGATTCAAGAGGGGAATAAAACAAAGGTAGGGAATAAATTGGTCCAGTACTGACATTCAGGAAACATACCAGTTAGCATAATTCTGCAGTCAATTATCCTTTAAATGACACTACTCAGTCAATTCGTATTTGCTTCAGGTATTTATAATGAAAGCAGTTTCCTTTGTATCTTTGCTGAAGATGGGTATAGTACCCTGGAGAAACTGTAACAGCCCCTCAGTATGCGTGTATGTATATATAATTATATACAGATAATCATGCATCCACACACACATCTGTATATCAACACTGCAAGTGACAGGTCAGATCCATTATCATTCATCATTGGCAGCACTTGTTCCTCTCACTTGGCCTTGATTACGTAACTGTAGAAAAAACAAAAGATACAATAAGTGCTAACAGTTACTCAAGTAAAATTAAACTCTAAAAATGCAGATTTTACTAATTCTCTAAGAAAAATAGTTAGTGCAGCACAGTCAAACCTTCACCAGCATTGAGCTGGATCATATTGTATCAGTTCAAATTTTCTAGGGAATCTTTTAGATTGAATATCAGTCTTGTGATTAGAACAGCAACTCAGACATCAAACAATGGAAATAAGTACAAAAGCACTCCCATACGCTGGATCTCTGGGATTTGAAGTTAGCTGCAGATACAGGATCCACCATTAAAGGCATGTGAGAAAATGCTCAGAGCAGGAAATATGAACATTAAAGTACTGGGTGTGAATATAAAGATTTGGACTTCTGAGGAAATTAGTCCCTGGCGGCAGCATTTTAGGGATTTTTTTTTTTCTTGACCTGGGAAATAGATTGGCATCCCCTCCACACACCCATTTTGATTGTACAGTTTTTCTAAATGCAGTTATATTTTCTTTAACCACAAAGAGGGTCTAATAGAGCAGCAAAATGTCACTCTGTCCAGGAAGCCTCTTGCAGGCTTTGGAGCCTAAGTGTCCTGAAGCCAAAGCACATGTCAGGAGACAAACTGTAGAGCCTGCACTTTGAGCTCTTGCACCAGACAAGCATAAAGTACGATGTGATAGCTAGCTTGCGCCAAATTACAGCATCCCACGGACTGAATGGAGCATGTGCCCAGAGCCCATCATGGTGCCAAACACATGCGGAAGGTCTCAAATGAATCCTAGCCACGGGGCTGCTGTCCTGCTGCTGACTGGTCAGAGCAGGGGAGCAGCAGGGGCTCAGTCCCAAGAAAGGAATCTGGCTGCACCGCTCTAGAATAGTTGTTCCGCCAGTAATGCCCATCACCAGAAAGGATTCCTCCTCTCCCCCAGGAATTCACTTACACAGCTTGATTTTGCCTCTGAACCTACAGAGGATTCCGCTAGACGTCAGCAGCCACTGTGCCTCGAACGGAACCCTTCTTACGCATCTAAATGTAAAATAAAACCGTGAGCTACCAAATAAAGAACTGGTCACCAGGTTATTAGGAGAACTAAATGGCTCAGAGCCAGTCCCAGGTCCAGCTGAAGGAGTGGAGGCAGCTAGGTGGAAGGGGCACGCTGTAGGACAGGAAAGTCAGAGTGAGCAATGTACAGCTGCTGTAAAGGGAGGCAGCCTCTCAGTTCCTAAGGGCCATCTGAATCCTATACCCAACTGCTTGAAGCATACAGCACTGCTGCTGTTTCTCAGGGCTGAAGGAGCACAGCTTTGGCAGTTTCAAGCTGCTTCCTTCTTATGCTCTGATTAGGATCCGCACTGTCCAGCAGTTAGCTGATGGAGAGGGTCTAATACGGCAGAAGTGCTCTGGGTGTCCACAGAGTCAGACCACATACGGAGAGCAATCACACAGAAGAGCGAAATAGAGGTAAGTGCAGAAAAATTGTGAACAGGATATGAGGCGAGACTAGAAGCCCACTGAACAGGGATGAGAAAAGGCATCCAGGAAGCAGCAAACAATGGATAGTAAAGGAAACAAAGACTGACAAAATGAAAACAGATCCAGAAGAAGAACTGGAGAACCAAAAAAATCCAGCAGAGAATCTAATGAAGTAAAGAAAAGTAACACCAGAAATGAAAAAGGAGAAAAGATTTTAAAGAAAGCAAATAGTAACAGAAAGCAACGCAAGAAAATGCAAAACTGCCAACCCAATTAGATCCCACTGGGCTGTTCCCTGCAATTGTTTCTTTGTAACAACATAAAACTGCAGACACCTGTGAGCTCCTGGACTATATCACCAGAGAGGCTGAATACTGCCCAGGGCTGGAAGTGCAAGGACATTTCTATCATGCTGGGCATCTCATCACTGAGCCCCCTTCTCTCCGCTGGTCCAAGCCCATAATAGTAAGTGTCAGCCTTGAAGTATTTGAGATTTAGTGAAAATTACCATTTGCTACAATATTTCAGCAAGTGGCTAGTTAAATGTGGCACGTGGAGAGCAGAAATTCTTTGGGGATAAAATTAAAAGGAATGTTCAACTTATATTGTGAGTGACCCAATGCGTGGTTACATTCTACCCACCCTTAGGTTATTGTCTCTCACGAGGATACCCCCATCACAAAAATCTTCTTGGAATGTGCTTTGTAGGTGCCTGCAGATACCTCTATTATGTTAGTAAAGAAAGAGCGGTAAGAGTATTTAAAACAGCAGGAGCCAACTCTTTCTACGTGGCTCACAATAAGATATTCCAGCTACAAGACCACATGTTTTTTAAACAGTCACCAGCAGGGCCGGCTCCAGGGTTTTGGCCGCCCCAAGCAGCCAAAAAAAGAAAAGAAAGCCGCGATCGCGATCTGCGGCGGCAATTCGGTGGAAGGTCCTTCGCTCTGAATGGGAGTGAGGGACCGTCCACCGAATTGCCGCCGAATAGCTGGACGTGCCGCCCCTCTCCGGAGGCTTGCCAGGCTGGTGCCTGGAGCTGGCCCTGGTCACCAGAGTACACATTTGAAAAAAAGTAATTTAATAAGTTATCATGAGGAGCTTTAAATCTACTAAATCTTGAGAGACAAAACCATCTGCTTTATTCTGCAAGGAATGAAAGGGGAAGTAAAAGCCAGCTTCCAGGACTGACACAATCCTTAAAAAAAGACGAGGTTAAAAGTTATATCCTGAAAGCAAGAAAACCAGGTTTAACTTCAGTATGGCAGATAAGAGCTAATGTACAGCAAATATTTTAGGGATTGAAGTATTTGCTAGTAGACTGACAACATGTAAGTAGTTACATAGCAGTGAACACAAACAGAAAAGTTACTGGTAATTTCTCTTTAGCCCATGTTCTTTTAACCCAGCTAGAGGAAAATCTTCACAAACTAGCATGTACTTCTGGAAGTAAAAGATCAGGGAGCACATTCTATTTATGTGAAACATTTGTGAATCTGAACATTTGATCTTTGAGATCACTTTTGCAAAGTCAAAAAAGCAGTTACTCACCTATGAGATATCTATCAACGGGTAGCCTCCTCCACAAAGACAAGCATCTACAGTCCATGCAGACACAAAAAGGGGAAGGTTTAGGGAAGTTTTCCATGATCTCTGAGGCTTGTCCTACACATACCTGCGGTGTGCACACCTCATACTATATTTCCCTCTTTCCCAGAGGGACTGGATGATGTCTGGCCCATACCAGATCAGGAACTGAGGTGGTGGTTTAAAAAAATAAATAAATAAATAAAAAAAATAAAGACAACCCTTCTGATGAACTCCTTACAGATAGGAAACCACTTCCTCTTTCACAGATCCCTACTGATGGAACAGTTTCCCAAACTCGTCAGTCTGGGATAAAGTGGGAGTACAAGGGGAAATTCAGAAATCATTTCTTTTGGAAATAATTAATGTAGAGATGTCCTACCATAACAAGCATCCACTTTCATATTGGCATCTAGGCAGAAGTGTTCATAAGGGGAGGGAGATATCCATCTTATTCCAAAAAGTGTTTCTGGGATCTGCCAAAGCAGCCCCTTTTGCCTTACTTGAAGAGGAAGGACATTTTGCACCCAGCTGTGTTGATAAAACAGCCAGCCAGTTGATTTTCCCTTGGCTTAAAAGTTAGGAAATATGGGAAGGCATTTAGAACCGGAGTAAACAGACGAATATATTTCTTCCATCCACTCTCGCTACAGGGTTAGTAAATGGGGCATTTTGCCCCTCAAAGGCAACACAGATCTCTCCTATTGCAAACATACAGTTGAACACTGTCTGAGTAACCTGCCTAATGCTTCTGAGCCATCTTGATTGCGAAATTTTGCTTGAAAAAAAGCGTATTGCTGAGAGCCATTGTTGGGCACAATGAGGAGTCCTTGTGGCACCTTAGAGACTAACACATTTATTTGGGCAGAAGCTTTCGTGGGCTACAGCCCACTTCATCGGATGCATGGAGTGAAAAATACAGTACGCAGTATAAATATTAAGCATGTGGCCTTTGGAAACTGCCTCTGGCCTTGGCTGTCTGATAGTCTCTCCATATTTTGTCCTGAAGGTGGTTGGGTTTGTTGCCATCTACAGGTCTGTAAGTAGGAAATTCCAGTCATCCTGTATTATACTAGTACTAACTCTTAAAGGAAGGTCAGGTATCTAAGACGGCTCAGGAATACAGCAGGCACTTAACTACTAAAGGTAATCAAGGCAATACCCAATTCTGTGATCTGAAAAAAGTCTAGCAAACCCTCGGTCAATGGGGCAACGTAATTGGCCATTCTGAAACCAATGATCTGTAGTTTATCCAAAAAAGAGAATATTTTGACAGAGACATTTCTCAGCATCAGGTGGTCATGTACTGTAGTTGGCATTCCATACGGCTAAGACATACAAGACTGAGCCCATCCAATGGTCCAAGAATCAAGTGTCTTGTAAGGGTGAGCAGAGTGATGGTTATCTGGCCTTTTACTAAGAGCTGATCAAAGCCGATCTCAGGGACTCCTGTGCTAAAAGACGGATTCCTACAACCTCTCCAGCCTCCAGAGCAGAGCCGGTCCAAACTCCCAGGTTAGGAAGGTTTGTTGGGCTCATGTTCATAGGGATGAGCAGAAGCATCTCTATTCCTCCTCAAAAACATTTCCCCACAATGCAAACAGCAGTGTATAAGGCTGATCTAGCCACACATGCCCAGGGTAACACTGGGGATGGGAGCGTCAGAGGTAGTGTTCATATCAATAGCAAAGTAGGTCTGTTTGACCCGAGCAACAGTTTGTATTGGAGAAGAACTAGTATTAATAGCAATACTGGGTCTGTGGTGAGAAAGCCAGACTATTTCTGGGTCTCTGGCAGCCCAAATGTGTTGAAGTCTCACATCTCATTACTCTGCATATTTGAGCAGAACCAGAGTGCTGCTAGGAGAAAGACCGCAACCCAAATGGGTGCTGGGCAATAAGGCGGTCAGAAAGCACCTTACAAAGTTCAAACTGTAGCTTTGGCAGATGCTAAAAAATCTGAGTGAGGCTCAGAATTTACAGAGAAATGCTCACAGTGGGAGAACCACAGCCTGAAAAATGACTTTGCAGCAGAAAGGTCCTTTCCTAGCTTGTTGTGTTCCTCAGCATCTGAGAGAAGAGGGAGAAAACTGCTTGAAGGATGAGCTTCCTTTCAGACACTCTGGGACCATACAGACAGGTCAGACTATGAGCATTCATAGCCTCTCAGACACAGAAGGAGGCAACACAAGTGCTTGTTAATTCTCTGATGACAGATTTTTTTCAGGAATGAGTTTCTCAATGTCTATCACGCTCATCAAGACAAGTCCAACTGTCCTCATGGGGGACACACACTTACTTCAAGACACGTTTGAAGGGAAAAATAATCAACTCTAATTACAACTTGAAAACTAAACAAAACAAGACACGATGCAGAAGTGAGGGGACAGCTCCAAGGTCCGACTGACAAGTGGTGAAAAGGGAGCTGTGGGATTGCGTGCACTAGGTATAGATAATGTTTTCACAAGCGGAAAGAGATGCTCAGTGCAGGCATTCAAGACATGGGATACTTACCAGAAACATTTACATTTCAACAACTCCTGGCTCTTTGCAGCATGGTATGCAGAAGCTCCACGAGCGTGGCTCTGTGGAGGAGATCCAGTGAAGAGCATAGCATTTATCAGTGTTATCCCATAGCACACAGAGTTGGCAGGATGGACACAAGCCATTGATGTAGCCTTCTTTGATTCTTGTACAGCCCCAACTACCACAGAGTGTACATTTATAAACAGCCCTCAAAGCATTCTTACCGCTTCCAGCTCTCGTTGGGTTTCATCCTCCATTCTCCTGATGTCTTCCATAGTCAGATCAATCCACCTGTCAATCCAACAGAAAAGCTGGCGATGGAAGTTGGTAAATATCCTCTTTTCTTGCTTTAAGGAGACAAAGCAGCATTAGAAAATATGCTCATGATTTATCAATAAATGTCCAAAGGAGAACTGAGTTAAATTTTAAAGGATGTTGCAGCTATATAGTCTCATGCTCTTTATTTCACAATGGCACTATCCAGCCTTCCCAGACTCTTGGGTTTAAGTTAATGATTTCACATCTCTTCTCTGCCTCTCAACAAGGAAAATGAAATGCACTTTGTAATAACAATTTGTTCTTAGAAAAAAGTTTGGCAATTTTGTTACTTGTAAAGGTTGTGGATGCATTCTCCAAAATACATTTACTCCACTGAATCTGATCCTAGACAGAATCCATTTTTTAAAAAACCCACAGCTACTGTACAAGCTCAGTAATAAAAACATCTGTGGTAAAATGAGGTGAAGAAGAAAATGACACTGGGAATTCAGTAGGTGGCACATTTACACTCCCAGCCTCCTCTCTGTCCCCCTCGTATTAGAAGTGAATTATGTCCCGATATGGTGCACGGAACAATTGGCTGCTGCAAAGGGCATCTTTTTTAAGAGATATAACCGTGCACATGTAAGTCAAATTAAGGATTCCTTGGCACCTTTTGTTAGGAGTTAAAGGGGTTAGCTTCTACGTCCTGACCAGTTCCAATTTGGGTATTTCCATCTGTCTGCTATATTTAAGGTACCTGGTGATTTCCTTTGGATATTGCATTTCTGCCAATCCTAAACCATGTGTAGTATTTGTTCTGTTAAAGAGCTGTAACTGTCTAATTCAAAAGCGACTGTAGCAATTCCTGTACAGTTTGTAGTGCTGTGAGAGCTTTCAAGTTGAAAAGTAAGATAGTGTTCTCATATCAATGATACAAACTTTTTTCACCATAGAATTGCCAACCCTGCTTCTTACCTTGCTAGAATTACATCGATAAGTATAGTTGTGTTGTACCTATATATACACACACGTACACAAAAACTAGTAGTGAACTATTCAAGGTTGCAACCCAAAGCTCTCTCACAGAATGTTTTGTTGCCTCACTGATACTCTACTCTTATCCTTTGGGATGCTTCATTCCGGAGAAACTATGCTGATTATTGGCAGTAGCCATAACCTTGCTTTATGTAAATGAAAACAGAGTCAGACTAACTCTCTGTGAAGGGGAGTGGACTGACTTGAGTTAGTGATGGAAAGAACACAAGTACGTTAGAATGTAAGCGATGAGGCCATGTACCAGGGAAACAGTTTTGGATCTTCGGCTTGGTTTATCCTCTTGTATTTTTTGGTTTGAAATCTGTGACATGTGCAGCTCCTCTTCCCGGGAGAGCAAACAACTCAAGTACAAGCCTAAAGCAAGCGTGGTCCCAGCATCTTTTGGTCCTTACAACCGCTTTATAAACTAAAAGTCTAGTGTGTGTTTCGATGTTGTGATTGATGAACACCCAATGAGACAGTCTGCCAAAGGCAAGGCTGGCACAGCAAATTCTGTGCTGAATCTCAATGTCTATATCTGCCCTCTGTGAGAGAGGGCTGCCAAGATAGGCAAAGTATTCTACATTTTCCAGTTCATCTTTGTCGATATAGATCTTCCTTGCTGGGTCTGATGATTGACTGGGGACTGGCTGGTGGAGAACTTTTGTTTTGCCGATGTTCAGAGTTAGCCGTAGGCTTTTGTAAGCTTCAGAGAAGCAATGAAGGGCTGTTTAAAGATCCTCCTTTGAGTGTGCAGCTACAGCACAATCATCTGTGTACTGGAGTTCAGTTATTGTTGCTGATATTACTTTAGTTCTGGCACGGAGACAAGAGAGGTTGAAGAGGTTGCTGTCAATTCGACATAGGATGCCAATGCCCTGCAGTAGGTGGTCTTGGATTAATGTTTTCATAGCTGCTAAGAAAATGAAGAAAAGGGTGGGTGCCAATTTGGATGACAAAAGGCTCAGAGGTAGCGCCACTACACAGGATGGAGACAGTCATCCGGCCATGGAGAAGTCTTACAATGATAAATTTGCTTGGGCAGCCAAACTTTGACGTGATTTTCCATAGAGCCTCACGGTTGAGAGTCGAAGGCTTTGGTCAGATCAATAAAGACCATATACAGTTTCTGGTGTGGTTCTTGACATTTTTCCTGGATCTGCCTGTCTGCAAAAGTCATGTATGTTGTGCCTCGTGATGGTCTGAAGCCACACCGGGACTCTGGAAGTACTTCCTTTGCAAGAGGGAGCAGGCAATTTAGTAAGATTCTAGCAAAAATCTTCCCAGCGATGGAGAGGAGGGCAATGACTCTATAGCTGCCACAGTCGGCCGTCTCCCTTTTTGAAAATGGTGACTACATTCGCATTACATAAGTCACCAGGGATTTCTTCGATGCGCCAGATTTTGAGGAGCAGCAAGTGAAGCTTGTTAGTCAGTGTTTCTTCCCCCACTTTCAGTACTTCAGCTGGTATGCCATCAGGGTCTGGTGCTTTATTGTTCTTCATTTGTTTAATTGCTTTGCAGACCTACTCAGGTGTTGGTGGGTTGGCAAGAGTTTCCCAGATTGGGTGCTGAGGGATGGAGTCAATGGTATCGTCAGTCACAGTTGATTCTCGATTTAGAAGCTTTTGGTAGTGTTCCTTCCTGTGCTCTTTGATGGATTAATTATCTTTAAGAAGGGCACTACCATCTTCAGATCACAGAGGTGTGAGGCCACATGAGCTTGGTTTGTACAGGGTTTTTGTCTCTCAAAAAAAGCTCTGCATATCATGTCTATCAGTAAATGTTTGGATTTCTTTTGCTTTGTCCTCCCCACCATGTGTTTTTGATTTCTCGGATCCTCCTTTAAACTTCAGCTTTGAGTAGATGGAAAGAGCTCTGCTTCTGACTGGATAGTGGTTGGTTTTGCCACTTGCAGAAAGCTTTTTCTCTTCTGCTTCAAAATGGCTGTAATCTCAATGTTGTTGTCTAACCAGTCCTGATGACAGGGGGTAGCAATACCAATGGATTCCTCGCAAACCTCATGGATGGTCTGTTTTAGGGCTTCCCAGCCTTCTTCGACACTTGTGTTGTCTTTTCCAAGTGTGCATATGGCCAGTTTTTCACTGAGGAATGTTTGAAGTTCTCTTGGTGCACTGAGGATTGAAGGGTTTGGTTGTTGTATTGACATCTGTGTGATCTGGATTGCTTTCTATGTTTCAGTGCAATCCTGATGGACATGACTGACCTTACCAGATGGTGGTCAGTCCAGCAATCGTCTACTCCTCTCATGACAAAGGTGATTTGGACATCTTATAGATCCTGTATTCTTACAATGACAGTCTAGGAGGTGCCATTGTTCTGAGCTGGGGTGTTGCCAAGTTGTTTTGTACTTGTTGCTTTGTCTGAAGATTATGTTGGTGATCACAAGGTCATACTCTGCACATTTCCTGAGTAAAAGGGTGCCATTGGAATTGGTCTTGCCCACTCCTTCCTTCTCAATGGTACTACTCCATAGGTTAGAATCTCGGCCAACTCTTGTGTTAAAGTCCCCTAAGAGGATTATCTTATCTGTTTTTGGAATGGTTGATAAAAATTTATCAAGATCAGTGTAGAAGGATTCTTTCTGTTCTTCAGCATCAAAAGTTGGTGCATATGCACTGATGATAGTGGCAAATGACTTACTGACCAGTTGGATGTGGAGGGTCATAAGGTGCTTGTTGACGCCAATGGGGAGCTCAGTCAGGCTAGAAGGTTTTTGATTGCAAAGCCAACACCGTGTATTCACCTGCCGCTTGGTTTTCCTTTCCAGAAGAAAGTGTAACTACTGCCCTCTTCCCTCAAGTGGCCTTCATCTGCATGTCTTGTTTCACTGACAGCAGTGATGTCTATGTTCTACCTTGAGAGTTCTCGGGCAATAATTGCTGTTCTGCATTTGGGTCTTTCACTTTCTGATTAGTCTAGCAACGTATGGACATTCCAAGTTGCAAGATACATTTTTGTTTTTCGACCACATTGGGAGTGATCCCTCTGGACACTTATCCAGTCAGGTATGGTGCAGCTTTTAACTAAATCAATGGTATATGTTACATTTTGCTTTGTAATCCCTCAATCTCTGTGGCTGTTGTAAAATTTAATGCTACAAAAAAACAAAATAAGATACTTTCACAAGCCTTTTGGTGCACATACTGCTGGAAAAGCATCGAAGCACTCATGTTTTATGTAAATAGATTTTTTTTTTGAACTTGAGAGAATAATGGAAGCAAAGGACATTCCTAAGTGCCATATACATATAGACCCCAATCCTGCAAATACTTACACATGTGCTTAACTTTACTATCATGAGTACTTCTGATGAAATCAATGCGCCTACTCACAGAAGTCAAGTTAAGCCATAAGTGGCTGCCGGTTTGGGACCTTAGAAGTCAATGGTTTGATTTCTTGAAAAATTGAATGGATCAATGTCTTCACTAACATTTCATTTTAATAGAAGAAAAATGTCCCAACTTTTCACTTCTACTAAAAAAAACACCAACAAAAAAACCCCACTATGCCGCAGAGTATTTAAAAAGCAACTCTTACCTTTTGGATAAAGTTTTCTACTTTGTTCTGTAGTCCCCACCATTTAAATTTGATAGTCACCAACTTGTAAGCACACATTTTAGGGCAGTCTTCATCAGCTGCTAGCTCTTTCTGTTTGTGGAGAATTGGGGGGGGGGGGAAATCTCTTCATTTAATGTTAGTGTTTGAATAAAAACTTGTTGGCATGGAAATTTATAAATGTGAATAATAAACAAGGATTCAGATGTACACATTTAGTATTATTCTTGCAAAGCACCATTTTAAGGCTTAGACAATGGTTGTACTGCGATTTGAACATGCAGAGTGCCAAGGATTAATAAGACACTGTCAGGTTAAAAGCCATATTTAAAAAACTACTTTACCTCTGTTATAAACATGTCTTATAATTAAATCTGAAATAATTTAAAAAATTACATTTCCTTGTCATGATTTATGCCAATAGGTTACTTTTTGAGTATTCTAGCTTGACAATTAAAATAGACTACTGTGGTGGGTTTTGTTTTGGTTTAAGTAAATATCAAATCATTTTCCCTTTCTGGTTGTTCATTAGTATAACAATTCTGCACTGTTTGGGTAGCTAACACACTACAAGGGAATATTTGTTGAAACTATTTCCACTGAACTGAAAAGAGATTTATGTAAAATGTTTTTATTGGTTTTGTAGCAGTTTATTTTTCATAAATTTGACCTGACAATGTCCAATTAAACCCCATTTGACAATGGGTGGAACACTGCATTTACACTTGAAACCCAAGTTATTTTCTCCACATTTCATAACACAAAAATCCACTGAAAACAACATAAAACCCAAGAACCAAGACAGTTTAGCAGTAGGCTTGTTAGAATACCATTACCTCACGCCTATTGTGCCTACATACCGCAGTGCAGACAGATAAATGTCATACCCTTCTTCCTTTCCTGGGAACTGGTACTACAGTCAGTGTCCAGTTTCTTAGCATAATCTGCATATGTCTGTTTGCACTCAGTTAATTGTAGGTGCAAATATCATACTTCTGCCTGCAGGAGTAAATCAGGCAGGGGAATCCCATTCTCCTTAATGGCCAGCAGTACTGGCAAGTGGCTATCAGCCCTATGGAGACTTCATCTCATTGGAATGACGGAAAGAGGTTCAGACTCAGGGACATGGGGAGTGTGCCCCCCCCCCCGGGGACTGAACTGAGAGGGGAGTGAAAAGCTGCCCACCATCACCTGCCCTCCCCACAGCAGGAGATGCAGCCGTTGGGAAATTACTGGACCTCTGCCAGCTGTAGCAAGTGAGCGCAGCTGGATGGAGGCAGTATATCTCCTAAAATTCTCCACTACAAACTTAAGCCTAACATTTGGCTAAAATTATTTAAATCAAAGCTCAGATTAGGTGGAACAGGGTTTGTAGTCTGCTGACTATTTGTGGAGGCTCGCACACCCCTGGAGAACACCTCTGATGACCAAGGACCTGGCTTACTTGCTCTCATTGAGGATTCTGGACCAGACAAAACTGAAGATCTTACACTAAGTTGTTCCCAAGTTACAAGTGGACAAAAAAGTTAGGACATTTCAGAAGGTGCTAAACCAGCACTTGTTAAAGTGCCATAACAAACAATTTGGCCAATTAACCCCCACTTTCAAAATGAAAATATACTCTGACAAGGGACGTCGTAAGAAATTCTGTGCAGAAGCAGAAAACGTTTTTTCAGAAATTGGGAGTGGGTGGGTTGGCAAAAAACAGACATAATAGAAACTGTCCTACAACCTTCATTGAAAAGCTACTATTGTGACTTCACAGCATCTGTAACACTAATTACATCAAAATGTATGTAAGCTGTTGGTCGTAACGAATAGGTCCATTAATTTATTTTTTCCAAACACACACATAATTTTGTATTTTTTAAAAACACGATGGTGGCTGACTAGTTGTTTGTGACCAGGTGAACAACAAATAAACCCTGCTTTCAAATTTAAGAGTGCAACACTACACTGACTTAGCCAAGATTCCAGTTTTAGCCTGTCAACACTGAGGAAAAGGAGATGCATCTTATTTTTAAAAAAATTTAAGATGAGGAAAGACGTCCCTAGGTCTCAGAGGTATAGTCATCCAAGACCGAAACAAAGCAATTTGTGATGTTTTACCTTGCAGCAGTTTATTACGTAGTAACAGTATTTCACTGCATCATAAAATATCAGTTACTTCACAAGGCCTGATTAGAAGAGAGAGTTAAAGCACAAGTTCTTTCTTTCCCATTGGATTAGTCTGCATGCTGTTTTCTTTCTACTTGCCTAACAATGAAACTCTGGACTTTGAATTTACACTTCTGACAGCAATTCTCTGGTGAAACAAAATTAGTTAGCTTAAAAAAAAAAATCTAAAGTTACAGGTGACCAGTATTATCCGTGGAGATATGGTTTAGGATATCAAAATAGAGTCCCATATCTACTGCAATCTTTGAGTCTCAATCAAGCTTGACAAACATTGCTTATGCTTTAATTAAAATATTGAAAAATTGCAGTTTATTTCCAATGAGTGGCTAGTTCCCAGAACCACATGGATACTCCCAGGGGGCCAGACGTGCTCCTCACCAAAAAAAAAAAAAGCTACAATGGCATTAATTGACTAACAGCCTTAGAGACAACAGGCTGGAAGGCTACAGTGAGAATTCCCTTCTCACACAAGAGATGGCCTCTACATATTAAGAGTGAGGCACTTTAATGGGGAAGCTTTCTCTGCTGCCTGTAGTGGGGACAGAGGATTTGTCTTCTCCAGCACTGCCACAGGATAAAAACACAAGAGTGACTAACAAAAAAATAAATTAATGAGTACTCTTCACATTGCCCTCTTGATCCCAGAAAAATCAGTCAGGCTCCCAAAAGAAAGGCTGGTAATGTAGATAAGCCACTCAGCTGGGCACGCCTGGAACCGCAAACCCAAAGTGCTGAGCCTCTTCAAAAGTGAATAAAAGCTTGTGGCACTGCACTGAGCTCTCCCTCCTCATTCTGTTCATAGAGCCTGCAGGTCACTGGAGCACAACAGAAATATGTTCTCTTAACCAACATGCCACCTACTGTCAGACAACTTACACTGAATCCTTTAAGGATTGCAACACTCAGGGAATCTGTGGCCTCAGAGGCTATTTCAGATCTCTGCAAAATGAGTTGAGAAGATGGCTGTTTGCAGACCACTTCTCTTACCATTAGTAATTGGCACTGAAGAATAGGAAGTCTAACTCCCTGTCTAATGGTCTTTAACTGCATTGAAGCCAGTTTAAAACACAGGATCTAGGTTACAACAAGATTTCTAAATTCACTGAGAAAGATGCGTTTTAAGATGGCTTAATTAATTTAGAAGTCCAGTGTATCAGGTGCTGAACTCTAGAGAGTTCCAAGAGGAAAGAGGCTTTAGTCTGGGGCACCACTTTAGCTGACTAGTCCTGATCTGAAAAATATAGTTTTTACTGCAAAGTAGAAAGGCTATTTTGACATTTTCAAATAACTGCACAAAAGCAGTAAGTCAAAGCCCAGTTTCAGCTGAAGAACAAATTTAAAGCACCAAAAATGCCTACAAACAAAAGGAGAGTGTCACAAGTCAAGTACACACATTGGACTCCAAGGCTTCTGCAATATAAAAGGGCATGATTACACAACTACACATACGTTCTACTCAACTCCAGACAGTTTTCACGATAACCGGTTTATAACAGTAACATCGGTAAGCAAAGTAACACTTCGGTGCTTTGCACAGTGAAATTATGTAACGATTTATAAACCACATTTGCATGCCATGGCAGGCTTCACATCAGAAAGGGGCTTCAGAGAGAAAGACAAGCTTAATTTTTTTTAAATGGGATTTATATTATTCACTGAAGTTTCCCTACTAATGTCATCCTTGATTAACAGGGACATTGATTTATTCAGCTAGGCTTTTAAACAAACCTTGACATTAATGTGAAATTTGGTTACTTCCTTGTTTGTGCATATGCATCACTGATTATTACAAGCCTCACGTTAACCTGATGCTCCCTCTGCCATAACTGTACTAGGAGAACTCAACACCTTGTGGTTATCTGTTAAGCACAAACTAATGATTTAAATCCAGATTTTAGAATTTGGAAGATATTCATCACCCCATGCCAGTTTTAAGACAAGTGATATTTTGGCCTAAATGCCTTAGTCTGTTAATAGAACCTGAGTTACAGGTGCACTTTTATGAAGTCCATTATTCTTACACACCTGAAGTGACAGCATGCCAAGTTTATTTTCTTAGAGAACAAACAAATACTTCAGTTAATACATTTTCAACTGAAATTGTATGTTCGGTTTGAAATTAGTCATCCTAATTAGGACAGATGATAATGCACGTTTAAATCAGTTTATTTGTACTTACATTAGGTTTGCTTTGTTTTCTGGACATCCAGAGTAAGGGCAATTCAACAAGTGACAGCAAAGTGAAGTTCAACTAACTTGCTTGACAGTATTTATTCTGCTTCCAAAAATCCCTCTAATTGTACTTGAACCTTGTGAGCATTTGTGATAACTTCATGCTAGAGCACATCTATTTTAGGCAAATTATTAAGAATACTAGCGTCCATTTTGTCATTCCCTTCCATGTTAAAATTAAAAACTGCTATTAAAAATGCAAATATAAAAATTCTATTTCTTGACAAAAACTAAAAACATATTCAAAATTATTTCTAGGGGAAATTAAGCAATTTTAGTTTTGGCAAGTATTTTGCCTAGCTCCTCCTTCATCTGACTATATGCCTGTCCATTTTTAAAATCAACTAATATGTAGGTTGTTTGATAGGAATGTTTTTCATCTACATATAATTACTGCAACATTTACAAACACCTTAATCTCAAAATAATTTATAGTGTTCTTCACCTACAATTTATAAAGTTTGGAAGCACTTCTTGCCAATTCTTAAATCCAGCATATAAATACACTGCACTAAGAATTACTTTTTAGTTTACATGATGCGAATTAGAGACCCTCTGAAACAATCACATGAAAAACATAATTAGTGGAGGCATCTTTAATACGAAGGTCTTTGAAGATATTTCACTGAAACACTTTTACCAAGCCGGAAGAACTATTAAATCAGAATAATCCTGAAAAATGT